GGTAATCAGATCCCCAATTTTCAAATATGAAACTTTCAAACTTTGGCAAGGCCCATTTTTGTGTGTGTTGTGGACTACACTCACACATTTACAGCCTAAATCAGAGGTCCTTAAACTTTTAAAGCCTGAGAGCTGGTTTATGGTCCCTCAGACTGTTGGGAGGGGAACACACACAAGGGGAGGGACTATAGATTGAAAGAAAATGAACTGATTCCTATGCATACTGCACATATCTTATATGTAGTGCAAAAAAGATGAAAGAACAACACATTCTTTAAAATGAAGAACAATTTTTACGAACATAAACTTACCAGTTTTTCAGTGGGAAGCGTGGATCTGCTTTTGGTTGCTGAGATAGTCAAGTTAATTAGAATTGTTGTTGTTGTGTGCCTTCAAGTCATTTCAGACTTAGAGTGACCCTAAGTCTAAAGTTTAGGGCTGGGGGCTGGGTAAATGACCATAGAGGGCCACATCCGGCCAGTGAACCTTAGTTTGGGGACCCCTGGCCTAAATGCATCTAAAATTAGTACTAGAGCTGATTAGCAATCTACCTCCATTTTAATTCCAGTTCTTTTATCTGATTTGTGACCATGTTGGAGACATTACTATTCCACTTGGGATTTGAAAGCATTTCTCACGTGTTGGTTAAAAATATATAGAGTGAGGACATGGGCTCAGTTTGGATTTGGAGCTATAAAAAGAGGCTCAATGTGCATGCTACTTTCATGCTTTTCCTACTGTAGTCTTTGAGTCCTGAAGCAGACGGGCCAAAGTTCATATTCAGTGTAGGACAATTTTCTATTTTCCTGTGTGTTGTTGATAAGCAACACTATTCACACGGGTAGTAATAGCAGCCATTTCACATAAGTTGATAACCAGTTCTCATTGAAGCATATAATATCATAATAGTCAGCAGTGATCTTCCGTACACAAGTATATGTACTGCATCTATATCCCCCTCCCCACATATACCTTCCTCTTGGGCACATTAACAAAGTTAAAGGTCATAGTTGGGAAGCGCATGAATCTTGAGGCAGCTGCTGAAATTGAGATTTCTTCAAAAGAACCAATGTGCTTTTGCTTTTTCTGAATCCTTACTTGGGAGCATGCTATCTTGGGGAGGGCTGTAAAGATGATTAGCAAGTGATGTAATGCCTTGGCCAAGCTGCGTTGTTGGGGCAGCGAATACTGGTTTATAATGTAAACACTGTTAAAATGTTTATCCGTGGTTTTGTCATTTTCCTTATTTGTCAAGTAATCTTGAAGAGAATGAAAGGTTTTTCTGGTGCAGCTTAGTGACTAGAGAGATTTCCATAAAAAGGCACAGCCGTTGCTTTGAGGAGCAGAAAGGTTTCTGAGTTGGCAATGGCAAGTGAGGTCTGACCTTTTACAGCAAGAAAATATTGACCTAAATCATTCTCTGTTGGAGATGGGAAAGTAATCTTGGTCTTCTCACCACTATAATTTTCTTGCTTAATTGCACATACTTCTGTGCAATTGACTGTGAAAAAAAATGAATTGCATAAGCAGCTATTAATATGTCTGAGGGAAGGATTTTTAAGGAGAGCCTTCTTGGCTAGAGTTCATTTCGAGCTGTCTTGTAGGTCAGTGCTCCAAGGCTTCACCCATGTGAATAGTATTTTCGTATCATTGAACATCAAATAATAAAAGAACATGATATTTGCATTTTAGGTGCTTAATGATATCCTGGAATATCAGAGCTCTTAAAATAATTAAAGTGCATCCTGATTTAGGAGAAGCCCTTAGACCAAGGGCTATTAAAGGAACGGGAAAAAAAACATACAGTTGATTAAAAAAAACCCTTAATGTTTTAAGTAAATTTACTATTTTGTATTGGGCCATGTATCCCTCCTTATGAACCATCTAGGACTTTAAGATCGTCGCAGATGCGCCTGGTGGGGATGAGAGACGCCTGGTGGGGATGAGAGAGGGCCTTCTCAATGGTGGCCCCTCAGCTGTGCAACACCCTCCCTAGGGATATCTGATTGGCCCCCTCCCTTTTAACATTTTGTAAAAAAGTCAAAACTTGGCTTTTTGAGCAAGCGTTCCCAAATGCAGTGTAACAGGCAGATATAGGACAACGGAATGACTGGACGATGTGAATGGATAGTGTTTTTAACAAGGAGATGCTGATGGCATATGCTTTTGTTGATCTTGTTATGGTTTTATATTATATGCTAATGTTTTTATGGTATTGGGGCATTGAATTATTGCTGACTGTAAACCTCCTTAAGTCGCCTTCAGCCTGAGAAAGGCGGTATACAAATATGGTAAATAAATAATAATTCATAGCAATCTGGGCTTTAGGTTGGACAAACCTAGTCTAGATCATGTGCTTGTGCAGCTATCAATATGATACATTGAACAGGACAATCTTTTGCCTGTTTGTACAGAAGTAAGACTGTCCAAACTCAATGGGTTTTTTTACCCAGATGAGCATTTTTAATCCTTCAGTCAAATCCATATTTTCCCCAATTTTGGTTTAACCCAATAATTGTTTTTCAATAACATGAAAAGAGTGGATTAACAGCATACTTTGGGGTTATTTCATGGAGCATAGAGCATTGTAGGGATGCACAGAGGAGAGGTGAGTAAATACTGTGGGGTGCAGGGAAAGGGAATAACATTTTGCAGATATGGGTCAATACGAGGGGAGGAGATAAACAAGGTTACAAATGTCTTTAGGTGGTGATGGGAGATATGCAGGCATGTTGTGCAAATTAAAAAAGAACATGGGTAAAAAGGTCAGAGAAATGGATCTGGAAGAGATACACAGGGAGGACAGGGGAGTAATCTTGACACTAATGGAAAGGAAGAAAAAAGTGTTTGTGTGTTGTATGTTAATGAGTGTAATGGATGAACATGATTTGTGTAGATTGGTTGCTCTCTTGGTTTAGCGTGAGAGAGACAGACTGGGTGGTGTTATGTTTTGACTATCCATTAGTAGACCCAACTCAGAATTTTTCCTTTCCTTTGTGTAGAAAAGTCTTGTTAAATCACCTTTAGCTCACTTTTGAGGATGGCGAAACTGTTCTAATGGTGAATAATAATAACAATAATAATAAAAACAATGTTGAAACACAGAAAACCCAATATTTCATCACTCATCCAAAATTTGATCTTTAAATGTATGAACATTACCACTATGAGAATAAGTAGACAATTTAATGAGATGATGCGTTTGGGAAGGAAATTGTATCTTCTAAAAAGAAATCTGGATTTTAATTCCCCCTTCTATGCCTTTATTTTTTCTATTTAGTTCTTACAAAGAAGCTGCATGTTCATATCTTGGCTGAATGGGTTGAACCCTGAGTTGTTTATCTGTCTGGTATTAGTGTATTATCTATATTTACCTATGTGAAAAGTAGTAAAGTGGTTGGAACAAAGATTTATATCATACCAAGTAATCACATGCAGCTATTTTAAAAGCTTGTATAGCTGTTCAAAATGCGTAAGCAGGGAATTTATGTAATGAATTACTCTTCAATAGATACTTTTCTGGTAGAGATTTCCTTTGTCTGCTTGTGTTTTCGTTTTGGGGTTTTTTTGAATACTATTTATGTTGCTGCATGTAAATAACATTTCTTCTAAAGAGAATATATCAAGTAAAATAACATTGTTAAGTGAAGTTTTTGTTTATTGTCTAGAGTGTATGTTCCGATTAATTCAGTATTGCATGAGGCTATGTTTTAATAAGTCTGGAATTGCTAATGTTTCATTCCATTCTAGAGAGAAAAAAAAGTCAGCTTGATGTATTTGACTCCCTGTTAGAAGTCCCCAAAACAGCTTTTGCATATGACCTGCTTGCTTGAGCACTCAAAGTTTCTAATGGACAGCCTGTTATGGTTAACCATGAACTGTTACTGTGCAAAGTTCCCTTTCCCACAAATTATTTATCAGTTGTAACTCAGGAAATTGTGTGGAATGGTTGGGATTTTTTTCGTGTCAGGAGCTTGAGAAACTGCAAGTTGCTTCTGGTGTGAGAGAATTGGCTGTCTGCAAAGGCATTGCCCAGAGAATGCCCGGTTGTTTTACCATCCTGTAGGAGGCTTCTTTCATGTCCCCGTATGAGAAGTTGGAGCTGACAGATGGGAGCCCACCCCACTCCCTGGATTCGAATCACTGACCTTTCAGTCATCAGTCCTGCTGGCACAAGGGTTTAACCCATTGCACCAACAGGGACTCCTGGAATGGTTGGTGAAGTAGACATCTTCTCCTTCTCTCTCTGTTTTGCTGTTGTTATATACTCAGTAAAGGATTCTGGAGACTGGGTTGTTGTAGGTTTTTCAAGCTTTATGGCCATGTTCTAGAAGCATTCTCTCCTGACATTTCGCCTGCATCTGGGACAAGCATCCTCAGAGGAGAGAATGCTTCTAGAACATGGCCATACGGCCCAAAAAACCTACAGCAACCCAGTGATTCCGGCCATGAAAGTCTTCGACAATGCATTGATTCTGGAGACCTTCTATCTTGGCTTTTGTAGATAGGCACATACAGGCAGAGAAGGATCAGTTAGAGCACAATTCCACTCTTTCCCTGCTAAAGTTTTTTTGCATTGTAAAGCTGTATACTGCAGACTTGCTGCTGCAAGATCTCTGAAATTCTGTTTCCCCATCCTCCCAATTTTGGTATTGCCCAAAGGAAGCGTCCATCTATACAGAGGAGAAGGAGGAGAAGGTGAAAGCTGGGCAGATATAAGAAGACTTTGTAAAAAGTAGCTTCTTTGTCAGTCTTTGTTACCTAAGGTATATCTGCAATGGATAAGTAGAATAGGCAAATCAGATCCGCACAGCAGGGGGGTTGGACTCTGGTCCATGTGGTCTCTTCCAGTTCTATTATTCTGTCATTCTCATACACCTTTACATGTGAATCCAAAGATACCGTCAATATCCAGAGGCTCCTTATATGCTTAGTAAGTATTTTATATATTATTTAATACGGAGAAAGTGTAATTCACACTATTTTCTTCTCTTTTTCAGATTGTCAGTATTTGTATAGACCACATCATGCGTGAGTACAAGCTAGTGGTCCTTGGATCAGGCGGCGTGGGGAAGTCTGCCTTGGTGAGCATAATAATAATGATGATGATGCTTTACAAACCTTTTGGAGTCTTGTCAGTAAAGCAGCTTTGGAAGTACCAACTGGCTGTTATTGCTATAATCATTAATAGGTGAATGATAGCTGCAATCACTCAGGAAAATGTTTTAGTATAGTTTGGAGATTATGTAGGAGCAGGGAGGTGAATTAAATGTTGTGGGATTAAGAGTTTAGGGAGGAAATTGCCTTCAAATTCTGCAGTCAGAATGTCAGTTTTCCTCCTTCTGCATGTTTGTTTGTTTATTTCTGGCAAAACATGCACTTTTTACCATACATTAGTGCAGAAAGGGAAAATATTATTGGCTTCCATAACATACTAACATTACTGGAGATGGTGCTTTAATGATAAAGATAACCAGGGTATAAGAAGGAAGGATTGAGATCTGTGGTGGCATCTTCCTTGGCAGTTGGTTCGTGTTTATTTTAGCTTCTTTTGATTTCATGATACGTTGCATAACCAAATGATAACTAACTGCCCGTCTGTAAGATTCTGCAGTGGTTGTGATGAGTTTCTGTTGGAAACCTTTTTATTTGCTTGCAGTTGTAATTGTAGTCATAAAACTTGTGAGATACTCTTGTAGTGCTTTTGCTACTGAAAGTGGTTGTCCATGGCATGGTGCCAGTTTGTGAGCCATCAGCTGCTGGTCCACGGAAAGTTTCCAGGAATGCTAACATGGTAATAATATGGTGCAAATATGGTATAAGTCCCTGACACATTGTGGGGGGGAAATGCCAGTCCATCACATCAAATATCTCAGGAACCACTGGTCTGACTGAGCTGTTGGAGCTGAATTGTTAGACATTTAAAAATAAGACATTTTAGATGCTGGAAAACATATGTGGCTATTTTAAATTGTAAACCTTGAATTGCTGTTCCTCCCTCTTACTGTTTTCCTGTTTTAACTAACAGACATCTAGTCTTCAATAAAATGAGATCTGTGGTGTTGGTCTTTGAAGGAAATGGATTCTAGGACTGACAGTTTGCCTTTCAATGTGGTGCTGAAATAGACATATAGACTAAAAACTACAAGGCCAGGGTGTGCCCATTTTTCATGCTTGCCCACATAATGCTAAACAATAATAAAACCAGAGCAGCAGTGAGGGAGATATCTTATGCCCAAAAGTGTACACACTTCTTCCACGAAAGTGTTTGTGTTGGGTTAATGTAGCTTTTAAACTCAAAGCCAGTTTGATCATTTAACAATGTTAGATTTGGACTTCCTGGGTGGCCTCAAACAAGAACTCTTTTCACCTTTATAGGAGTGATAGTGACCTTTCACAGTAATAAGATAAAGAATTGAAGGGTTTGTAAATCCATACAATACTTTGCTCAGCCTCACATAAAGCACTACTGAAACAAAAATGTAGCTCATGACAATCTCCCTGTGGCTCTTTGAGATTGTGCCTCACTGCCTCTTTCCTTATGAAGTAAGTTAATGGAAGGGGTTTTAAAAAAAGCCTTTGTAGCATATTTCTGTTCTTATTGAAAGTTTTATATAAACTTAGGAAGGAGAAATAAGTAAACCTGGTTTTGTTTCTATGAAAAGACCAAAGATGGAAGTTGACCTTTCAGATTCCTATACCCTATATAGCAAATATAATGGACCAAAAGTGCTTTTGAAACCAACAACAATAATCTGAAACTCTGGTCCTGTTCATGCTGTTTCCAAAATAAAATAAGAGTACAATTTAATGTGAGATAGATAGATAGATAGATAGATAGATAGATAGATAGATAGATATAAAAATAAAAATAAAGAGTTTTTCTGGACCTATTTCCTCAGTTATCAAAAAATAACCAAGCACATGAGGGGTGATTAATTTTGTATATTATTATTATTTCAAGCATTTATACCCCATCCTTCTCAGCCTCCGAGGAGGGACTCAGAACGGCTTCCAAACAGGCAACAATTCAGTGCCAAACATGATCTAAAACACATAATAAGAATCATAGAATCAAAGAGTTGGAAGAGACCTCATGGGCCATCCAGTCCAACCCCCTGCCAAGAAGCAGGAATATTGCATTCAAATCACCCCTGACAGATGGCCATCCAGCCTCTGCTTAAAAGCCTCCAAAGAAGTAGCCTCCATCACACTCCGGGGCAGAGAGTTCCACTGCTGAACGGCTTTCACAGTCAGGAAGTTCTTCCTCATGTTCAGATGGAATCTCCTCTCTTGTAGTTTGAAGCCATTGTTCCGCGTCCTAGTCTCCAGGGAAGCAGAAAACAAGCTTGCTCCCTCCTCCCTGTGGCTTCCTCTCACATATTTATACATGGCTATCATATCTCCTCTCAGCCTTCTCTTCTTCAGGCTAAACATGCCCAGCTCCTTAAGCCGCTCCTCATAGGGCTTGTTCTCCAGACCCTTGATCATTTTAGTCCCTCCTCTGGACACATTCCAGCTTGTCAATATCTCTCTTGAATTGTGGTGCCCAGAATTGGACACAATATTCCAGGTGTGGTCTAACCAGAGCAGAATAGAAGGGTAGCATTACTTCCCTAGATCTAGACACTATGCTCCTATTAATGCAGGCCAAAAATTATATATATATATAAGTTCTCCAGATTAAAATTGCCACATTAAAATCATTTAATAGCATTTCTATTATGCTTTAATGTTTTTCTTCATTGTATGTAACCCTGAGTAACCTGGTAATGAGGTGGCTTTAAAACAGTATTAATAAAATAATAATATATAATATACTTTATTTATATTCTGCTCCATCTCCCTGAGGGGACTCAGAGCAGATTACAGAATACGTATATGGCAATGCCGTTCAGTGCCGTTATGGCACTGACAGAAAGTACACAGACAGAGGCAAGGCTTCCCTGTTTTTCATTTCTGGCATCTGGAGGCTGTGCTCAACTCGGCCATGGGGAGGTTCTCTTGTTCCATTTTTTTCCACACCAAGGAGCCTGTTGTCCATGGTCACCTTCCTGATCGAATTGCTGGCATGTCTTCAGGGGTGCCTTTTACCTCCCAACCAAAGTGGTACCTATTTATCTACTCTCATTGTTGTTTTTGAACTGCTGGGTAAGCAGAAGGGCTGGTGGCAGGAGCTCACCCCAACCTGCAGCCTCAACCAATTCTAAAAAGGGGTACAAAATAGTGGTGCTGTAGGTTATTTTTCAGAGGAAGGAACAAACAGGTCACTTCTGGATATTCTTTGTCTAAGAAAACCCTAATAAATTAAAGGGGTCACTGTGAGTTAACAGGCAACTTGGAGATACAATACAAACAGAGAGAAACATGTCTACATTGATTAAAAAAACATGCACAGAGTGTCAGGCTACCTAAAGACCAGTGGAAAATCGTGGCAGAGCAAGTAGCTGTGGGCAACCTATGCACCTTCAGATGTTGAACTGTCGGTGCTTGTCCTAAGGGAGCATAGGCAACAGTGGGGGGTCCAGTTTTAGCAATGTATATTATTATTATTATTATTATATTTATTTATAGCCTGCTTTATCTCCCCTGAAGGGGACTCAAGGTATAGATGACTGCAATTTGCCTGCTCTTTATGTAAGTGAATGCGCCTGTGATGACATGACTAGAGATGTGACAGCTTTTATCAAATTTTATCAAGACCTTACCTCCATTTTTTTTAGTCATGTTAATCTGATAAACTGACAATTTACAACAAGGAAGGGACAATGGTTAAGACTATTGGTGTGGAATGAAGTCATCCAATGTGTCGTAAGCATATAATTTGCTAAGAATGGACTATGGCTTGTTGATATGTTGGAATGGTTTTTAATTGGTAGATGCAGTTGACACCTGGTGCTTGGATTTGGAGTACCAATTTGGTGTCAGCTTTGTATAAAACTTCATCATGCTGACAATGGTTCATTCTTCAATTCATCCTCCAGTGAGATAAAAGCAATCACCTGCCAACGGGACTCTTCTGCTTTTGAGATACTAGAGTATTCAGAAATATGAAATTGGTATAACTGTTTAAATTTTCTCCAAATACCCTCAGGGCAATGGAGGTTAACATAGCCAGCAAAATAACAACCAGTTAAATAAGGCACAAATTCTGTCAAGCATGACTTTTATTACCAGTGTGTTATTTTCTCAGTGGTACTCTTTTAAAAAAATTAATGTGTAAGAATGTTGTACAGTTACATGTTTCATTTTCCCACAGAGGCATTCACAGCTTTATGTTTCTGGACTGTTCTTACTCCCCTTTTGATAGAAATGTAAAGCCAGAGAATTGTTGATAGTATATGATGTATGGGTTCACAAAGTCTTCTGTTTTATATGCTGTCCCTAGGACAAGGTTTTAAAAGGAATTCTTAGCAACCTGCATTTTGCAAGGTTTTCAGATCATTTTAACTTCTGGATTGATAAACTTGGCATGCATAAAATAATTTTGTATGCAGTTGATGTAGATATTTGTTTTAGATGAGCAATCATGATCTGGGATTGAGTCTTGAACATTATAATTTCTCTAATTGGCTTCAAAAGATTTTTTTAGCCAAGCTGAGGGGGCCATCCACCTTCTCTCCATCACTGTAGGATCTTTAGTTCCTGGTGCAATGTCCAATCGCAGACATTGAATT